TTCCTGACATAGCATCCGGTGGAGACGAGCCATCTAGGTGGAGACGAGCCATCTAGGTGGAGACGAGCCATCTAGGTGGAGACGAGCCATCTAGGTCTGATTTGATGTCAGACCTCAACAAGCCTCCCGCCACTCTATACGTCAATGTTGTGCTCTTCCTTGAGCAAGGTCTACTTCTTCTCAAAAGGAATGTTCGCCCTATTGACCAGTCGGCTGAAAATCCTTGTTTAGATACAATCCAGAAGTTAAACATCAGAATGTTTCCTCTTGGGATGAATATACCATAAAAAACATTTTTATTGTCATGTTCATGAAGGTTGGTGGAAACGTTAATTTGCCTAGTCTTAGGGGAAAAAAAAAAAAAAAAAAAAAAATCAAGTTCTGCTTTGCTTCTAGGTTGACCAAACGGAGATTTAGAACAGGTAGAACAATACCAAAATTTTTTCACCTTCCCACCTTGTCCTATGGATTTTCCGTTAACAATTGATCCAAAAAAACTACTAGAGTTCAGTGTATTTCAAATAGGATATAAGAGGAACCATAACACCGATTTGTGAAAAAATAAAAGGGAGGACTTCCATGGTGCACAGAGTTATTTCCATCTCCTATTCGTGTTTTTCCATCACAGCAGCTTTCGGATATTGGCACTTGGGAGTCCAAATGTGCAGAGCACTCCACATCAAAATGAAATCCTCCGTTCCCTATGTTCAGGAGCCCTGTGGAAGATTCGGAAGATCTAGTTCCATCTCACGGCACAGATATTCGGGTGTATAAAGTTCTGGCGACCAGATAGACACAACTTTGAGCTCAACACACCAACCATGCTCAGACAAAACCAGCCTTACAGACTTATGAGTCCGTGTTCCTATATAGGCCCAGGGCCTAGGACTCATGAATAGTTTTCAATCCAACATTCACAGTTCCAGTTCCCAACCTAATGCATCTTAAAGCAGAACTGTTACCCATAACAACTTGATGTGGAATGTAGGTTCCTTGCCTAAAGAACATTATTTTGTATCAACAATTTTGCTACCTTATTTTTAAAAATTAGTGTGTACTATAATTTTCTAAAATTGTCTTGCTGGAGGCTGCCATTTTGCTGAAGCCCTATGCCCCTCAGCAGCAGTAAATCTTAAAGCTGTCAGCAGATTGGCCTCTAGTAGCGATTGGTCAAAAATGGAGAGCAACTGAGCATGTGCAGAGTAGGGTGAGACAGTGTATAGCTGCACTTTACAGCATAGGCACTTATTTTCACAAAATGATTTACAGAGCTATACCTGCTAAATGTGGGGCTAGTGATCTAGCAGAACTTAATTTTCTAACTAAAGTTGCACTTTAACCCCCGAATAACGCATATGTACAGAGGCAAGACAGTTGGGCCTTAACAGCCACATATACAAAACATCAAAACAGCGCAAACATAGAAAACAAAAAATATTTTTGAAAAAATAAAATAAAAAACTATTAATTCAATTATATAAGTCCCACTCCAAATTGATTGTGAATAAACCCAAAAAGGTGTGTGTTTTTTTAAGGGCAGGACAGCTGTCAGCAACACATCCAATATCATCACACTGATTGGAGTCAAGTTGGCTCACTCCTTAATATAGTTAAAAATATAAGAAAATCAAAATTCAAAATCAGATTTTAGATATAGATTCCACGTAATATACTTTTTCTTATATTTATTTATTTATTTATATTTTTTCATGAAAGTCCTCTTCCCAAGGAACCTTATAAATAATCGTGGAAGCACAATTTATAAGTTTCCTTGGGAAGAGGACTTTCATGAATAAATATTTATTTTTTGAAATTTTGATTTATTATATTTTTAACTATATTATATATTTTTATTCACAATTTGGAGTGGGACTTATATAATTAAATTAATAATTTTTATTTTTTATTTTTTTTCAAAATATTTTTTGTTGCAGTGATATATTTTTTATTTTATATATTTGCGCTGTTTTGATGTTTTGTATATTTGTTTGGTGTTTTTTGCACTGATGAGCAGCAGCATTTGTTGATTTGTTATCAAATTTACACTAATTTTGGCGCTGGTGATTTGTGTTTAAAAAAAAAATTAACAGCCACCTGTCGCACATATACATCCACACTAATTTTGGCGCTGGTGATTTGTGTTTAAAAAAAAAATTAACAGCCACCTGTCGCACAATATACATCCATGGCGGTGGAGGTCTCTGCGTGCCGGCAGCGCACTCTCTGCACAGTGACCAAGCTGTCAGTCAGCTCTTGGTCTCTAGTTATGATCAGGAGCCAGCTGGACAAGCCCACAATCATGTGACCACTGTGACGGTCAATCACAATGGTCACAATCTTAAAATCTGTTCAAACCCCACCCACCTTAAGAGCCAGTTAAAAGGCCCCAGTGGGCAGGACAGCGTTAAGGTGCTTAACCATCAAACCCCATTCAAGGGAAGATGATGAATTAAAAATTCTTAAAAACGGATCTGTCCATACAAACGATCTACTAGGTGGGTCAGCTGACTAAAGAAGCCGCTTTGATACCCCCATTAACGCTCTGGTATTGAACAAAGTATTGAAAATAGTCAAAACAGGAGGACAATAATTACACTTATCTTCAAGTTGAATTCCAGAAATTCAACAACTTTTCAAAAACTGCACACGATGAGTTAACTCCAAGCAGGTGCATGCCACTTCCTGGACTTACTTCTATTATTTCTGACAGTTTTATGAGGCTCAAGCAAGGTCACTTCCAAAGCTCTGATGCTGCACAACTCTGGTCTGGTTTCCTGCAAGTGCAAAGTCTGTGAAGCTACTATGCCCACCCCTTCCCAATCACAGAAGCCTTTGTATTGTGTGAACTCATTCACACAATACAAAGGCTTCTGTGAATGGGCAGCAGAGGGGAGGGGTGGAATAGCTGCTGTGTAGACTTCTCTTCTCTCTCAGCCCCCAGTATCTTCAACAGAAACATAAATCTCCCAGATAGAAATAATCCCAGAAGGTGGCAGGCCCATGGTTGAAGTTAACTCATCGTGTGCCTGCATTTTGATTAACCCCTTCTTACCGAGCATTCACAAAATATGCAGCCCAACTGGACTGGGCTTTTTTTTTTTTTTATTCTGTGGGGCCGCATATTTGCGTATCTGTGTTGTGCTGGGAGTGCACCACTCGACACGCTCTCAGCACATAGACCAGGGTCTAACTAAGAGCCCTGAGTCCAGTACTAATGACTGGGACCCAGAACTTCCGATTCGGGGGGTCATCCGATTGCCATATTAGCCTCTGATTGGCTAACACAGTAATCAGTCACTGTGGAGCCTGCCTCCGTGTTTTCTCTCCCTGAATGAAGGAGAGACATACATTGAATCTCTCTCTCCTTTCAGAGGAAGAAAAACAAAAAAAAAAAAAAAAAAAAAAAAAAATATATTATAAAAATATATATATATATATATATATATATATATATATATATATATATATATATATATATAAAATTTATTTTTATAGTATTTTTTTTCTAATAGTAATACAAATAAAAAAACAAAAACAAGAAAAATACCTAGAGCACAGTTTGATCTAGGTCATTGCCAGGGTTAGTGTTTGGGTCAAGGTCAGAGTCAAAAGTCAGGGTCAGAATTTTTTTGGGGCAAGAGCTTGGAAAAAAAAAAAAAAAAAAAGAAGTTTTTTTTTTTTAAATTAGTATCAATTTTAGGTAGGATTAAAAAAAATAAATAAATAAAAATTTGCACTGTTGTTTCTGGGCTGTACCACGGGCATAAACAACAACATCCACATACGTGGTATTGTTGGAATTGGAGCAGGAGAATTTATTTTGGATTGTTCTTTGGTGGTAGGTTATGGTAGTAGCAAGAAATATACAGCTAAATGTAAAAAAAATAATTTTTTTTTTTACTATTTTGGGACAGTTTTTTTTCTAGAATATATATACACATGTAAAAAAAAAAAAAAAAAAAAAAAAAAAAAATCAGGAGATATTCATTACCATGTACCACCAAATGAAACTTTTCCCTGAAAAAAAGACAAGGTAAAATCCACCTGGGTGCACAAAGTAGTTGGGATGAAATGAATGTACAGTTTAACTAACATGTCAAACTTGCAAAATTGTGCTTAGGCATTAACATTCCCCTTAGGCGCAAAAAGGGTTACATTCTTGGAATTCAGCTTTCAGTCTATTTTCGTTACTTGGTTGAACGCTGTCTGCCATTCTATAGAACTAAAATTTGGAACACGTGAGACAACTGTACAAGTCGTGGAAGTACCATAAAACAGAATCGATATACGAAATTTTCCACGATGCAAAAATCGAATGTGTATTGGGTTCTTAGGTAGCCAGGCCGGTAAAACCTTTTCTCCATTTTCAGCTTTATGGGCCAACACTGAATGTGCCCACAGTATTTCATCATGAATCTAAAGCTTGAGCTGCGTCACAGAGAACAAGGAAAAAGCAAATACAACCTTGAGCACGGGTGTCAAACTGGTGGCCCTCCAACTGTTGCCAAACTACAAGTCCCATGAGGCATGGCAAGATTGACAGTTACAAGCATGACTCCCAAAGGCAGAGGCATGATGGGACTTGTAGTTTGGCAACAGCTGGAGGGCCACCAGTTTGACACCCCTGACCTAGAGCAATGGTGAGCGCTAAAGCATTCGTGCCGCTTCTCTTTGGACAAGCAAAGCCCATCTGATGGGTCATGGACCACTCCAGTCCTTTATGGTCAACTCACACGCACAGAGCTTTTCCATATTACTGCAACAACTCGGAAACCATCTCAAGACAACTCCTTTCACATCGTTTAACAGAGCACCCCTCTCGGAGCCTGAATCACCACTGGAAACCAGTCTTAGGCAATGGGGACCATTCCAGATGGACAGAAGAAAACATAAAGGGTTCCAGGTCTGGTCCTTCTCAAACTCACCTTTGACATATACTACACATCTTAAATGGTTTATTCCTGCCCTTCCCATAGGCAAGCCGAGCCTTATTCACTTACCTCGTAATCCTGATCATCTTCTGCGGGGTCAGGAGATCCAGGACATCTCTCCGGGGTATTTCTGTTACTGGATCCATCTGTAGGAAACACACACATGGACTGAATCCATTGTTTCTAGGTGTTGATCAGATGATGGGGGATCTAGGTAGACCCTCCGTACTGCTCTCTCCTTTCCAATAGAGTCCCCTCTTACCTGGTGAGGAAAGGGGCTGGTGGACTTCCATAACTTCATCTTTGTCATCATCCACACATTCCAACTCCTGCAGAGAGGGGAAATAAAAATTTAAAAAAATGACATCCCGAAACCTGATTGGATACCAATATATACCGTCAGGGAAGACAGGAACCAAAGAAGTAAAACTTTTAGTCATCTTAAGGCAGCAGAAGAGAAAAAAAATTCTCTCGCCCGTAACCAAAAGTCTAAAGGTGAACACAGTTTCTTTCTTTAGTGAATCCAACCAGGAATAAAGTTTTTTGAAGGAACCATTCCAAAATGAAAAAATTGGCAATGCAACATTCCCGGCACCGCTCACCTCTCCTGTCAGCAACTCGATGATCTTGTTGGCGAGCTTCAAAATCTGGTAGTTATTTTTCCTCTTGTGGAAGGGCACGTGAAGCTTGCTGGTGCTATGGCTGCGGCTCGTTCCTGCGGAGCCCCCGGGGTGGCTGCTGGAGGCCACACAGTCACCGGATGACTTCTTCACGACTATGCAATCCTATGAATCAAATCCGAATATAGCCATCAAACTGCGTTCTAGAAATCACAGAACGGGGGTGCCAATGTGTGTGGTGGGGCAAAATAACATGAGGAGAGCAGCTAGAGCAAGCACAATGTCCACACTAAAGGTAAAGGATTCAGGTCTCTCCAACTAGGTGTGTGATCCCTCCCAGAATCCTCCTCACCTCTCCGGTCAGGTCTGTGTTTAATTAATAGAGGTAAGAGTGATGTCATGTGACCTCCCAGAATCCTCCTCACCTCTCTGGTCAGGTCTGTGTTTAATTGAGGTAAGAGTGATGTCATGTGACCTCCCAGAATCCTCCTCACCTCTCCGGTCAGGTCAGGGTTTAATTAATAGAGGTAAAAGTGACGTCATGTGACCTCCCAGAATCCTCCTCACCTCTCCAGTCAGCAGGTAGATGATCTCCAGAGTGATGTTTAAAATCTTCTCTGACATCTCACTCTTGCCCTTCTCCATTTTCAAAGGAGGGATTCCTGGTGGAGAACAGAGGACACCACATCATGTAACGTAGTAATTATAGACAGGACTAAATTCTATTCTATTCGGCTTCAACAACCAAAATATATGCGGATGATAAAGTACACCACATGTGTCAAACACAAGGCACATGGGCCGAATCCAGCCTACAAGGCCATTTCATGTGGCCCTCGCACGTGTCCTGCAGTGCCCCTCTCATCTGCACCCCTACCTTGTCTCAGAAGTCGATAGCAGAGAGAAGGGCAGAACTCCTCTGCCAGATCCTGCGCTTCTCCATGCAGCTACAAAGAGGCTCGTCTCTGCCCCCTACCATCCCCATCTCAGCAGACGGCAGCAGAGAGGAAGACAGAGGGCCTCCTACAGATCCTGTGACTCTCTGTGCAGCCGCAGCACCGCCTCATCTCTGCCTCCCCTGGTCTCAGCATTCAGCAGAGTCCGGAAGATGACTTTAGCCCGCCTCTGGTCCTCCCCCAGACCCTGCACTTTCTGTATCCCAACTCAGCCCCCAGCTTTTTCCCAGCAGCAGCACATGTGTGGGGTGCACTGTGATGTAAGGGAGGATGAGGGGCTCTAGACATCTAGTCTTACAGATACAACCAGCCCTTTGAGGGCAACCATAATGCTGATGCGGCCCGCGATGAAATGGGAGTTTGACTCTGTTGGAGTACACCACCTAAATGGTGCCTACTGAAATTCTAATACAAAAGGTGAAAGTAGGTGAGAAACTTCCTCCTTGTTGGCCTACTTCAACACAGGCTATCCCCCCTTTCAGGCTACCATGACTGCTGGACTGCTGCTGACTCATCCACCTTACCAACTGCTTGGTACCCACCACCACCCCTCTCTGCCAGTCCTTCTTTCCCAGCAAACAAAATTCAAAGCATACACAGTCATCCACAACTCTGCCCCCCCCCCCCCCCCCCCCAACCACATCACCAAACTCTTCTCAGAATTTCACTCCTCGCTCTTCCCAAGACCTCCTGATCTCTAACTCACTCATCATCTCCTCCCCTGCTCACCTCCAAGTCTTCTCCTGAGAAACTCCCATCCTCTTGGACTCTCAACTCTATTCTTGATCCCTGAAAACCCGTTCACCCCCAATGCCAAAACACTGTAGGCAAAATAAAGTGTGTGGGGGAAATAAGTTAGTCAATATACTTACCTTATCCCAGGTTTCCTCCTGCGCCACACAATTGAGCGCGACACATCACCGTCCCTCCAGCAAGATGTCAGGAAATACTGAGTTGCCCAAATCTCAGAAGAAGACGCACTGTCGCGGCGATTTGAAGGTCTTCTCAAAAAAATTTGGGCTACTAAGCATTCCTCAGGATTTTGACCAATAGCATGGTGGCGTCACCCACCGCAGTACAGAAGCCAGGCATAAAGTGAAGTATAATGAGCTCCCACGCAGAATAATTCCCAACTATGTTCTAGTCCTCCAGGGAGTTTTGGGTGTCACAGCTCCCCCATTACACTCTTCATATACAAGATAGAGAAAAAAGCCAGAAAGGATGGTGGAAGTCCTTTTTTAATGGGCACAGCAGGTGTGCAAACCTGGGATGCCTCTATAAAGGTCACAGCATGTGTAAAGACCATGGAAGCCCTCATAATGGGCACAGCAGGTCTGCAGAGCCAGGAATTCAAGTTAGGAATGGTGGGAACCCCTCATAATGAGCACAGCAGGTGTACAGACCCAGGAACTCACAGCAAGGACAGTAGGAACCTCTCATAATGGGCACAGATGGCATTCAGACTTATGAACTCAATGAAAGGATCGTGGGAACTCCTCATAATGGGCACATCAGGTTTGCAGAGCCATGACCTCGGCAGAGGTATGGATATCAACAACAGAGTTCTCGAGGAGGTTTAAACTATCAAGTATCTAAAGAACACTAGAATACAAATATTTGGTGGACTGACCATTCAACAGCACCCACTTACTCACACCATCGACTATTAGGGCCAAATTTATGGACACACCACATCAAAATTATTGAACCTCACAGGAACCTAACTTAAGGATGACATGGGTTTTCTTCTAATAGTCAAAGCCATCTGGGCGATGCAGAAACCGATCAACAAGAAGGTCCAAGTCCCAAAATTATTAAAGACGCAAATGTCTTAAAGCCAGACAGCCAACATCTTCAGGCGTCCAGCGATGGTGGCCCCCTTCTACGTCTCTCATGACTGGAGAGCTTTGAAGCCAAACTCCAGGTTTTTCAATAAGCCTTCTGATGGTGGATCTTCCTTTACGACAAGCTAAAAGGTCTACACAAAGTGGCCAGAATAAAGAATACGAGGTATAACAAGTTGGCAGTTTTTCAGAAGATGAGTCAGTATGAAAGTTCCCGGCCTGTAGGGTCAAATGACGAGATAAAACGTCAATGTCTTTCATGACCAGAGAGCTTTGATGCCCAATCTTAGGTTTTTACAATAAACCTCAAGTTATGGTGGATCTTTCTTCATGGTGAGCTAAAAGGCCAGACACCCAACATCTTCAGGTGTCCAGCAATGGCAGCCATTCTACATCTCTCATGACCAGAGAGCTTTGAAGCCAAACTCAAGGTTTTTCAATAAGCCTTATGATGGTGGATCTTCCTTTATGACAAGCTAAAAGGCCTACACAAAGTGGCCAGAATAAAGAATACGAGGTATAAAAATTTTGCAGTTTTTCAGAAGATAAGTCCGTATGAAAGCTCTCGGTCTGTAGGGTCAAATGACGAGATAAAACATCAATGTCTCTCATGACCAGAGATCTTTGATGCTCAACCTAAGTTTTTCAATAAACCTCAAGTGATGGTGAATCTTTCTTCATGGTGAGCTAAAAGGCCAGACACCCAACATATTCAGGTGTCCAGCAATGGCGGCCCTTCTACGTCTCTTATGACTTGAGAGCTTTGAAGCCAAACTGAAGGTTTTTCAATAAGCCTTGTGATGGTGGACCTTCCATTACGACAAGCTAAAAGACCTACACAAAGTGGCCAGAACGAATAAGAGATATAACTCTTCGGCAATATTTCAGAAGACAAGTCCGTATGGAAGTTCCCTGTAGGTTCCAATGAAGAGTTAACACCCTAGAAGTCAGAAGGTCCCACCATCAAGAACATCCAGCCCAACCACGACCACCCAGCTCATGGTGTTATATGGGGTGCCTGATGGATGTAATTTTTGCCCCAGACCCTCATAAGAACCCAACAGACTTCCCTATCCCAATACGACCCCTACTCACCACCATAGAAGACCGAAAAGGTTCATCATTGGCCAATTATTGTATTGGGGGGGGCAACCAAGATTCGTCCGACCTTGGTAGAACTGCGACAAGTCTCAATTGCCCAGATCTATGAATCGCGCCGGCTGGACAAATGCTGGTAACGCATCTCTGAGGCGGTTCACTGAGATTCGCCAAATTCCGAGATTGGCTGGTCTCCACTGCTGACAGCCCCGTAGAAATTGACCCTTTATGGGTCTAGCATGAAAAGTCAAGAGCAAGAAGGTGGGGAAGTTCGATCAATCCTTCCCTTTGCTGAGTAGGAAAGGGAAGGAGCCCACCCACACGCCAACAGATTGGCCAAGTCAGAGGGAACTCTACAGCGCCACCAAGTGGAATCATCCCCCCCCCAGCCATCGATGTCAATGGGACATTGGTTGGTCTATGGCCAGCCTTGGGGTGGAAGATCAGTTGATGACCCTGAGAGGTGGGCAGGAAACACCCTAAGGCTGCCCAGACATGGGGATTATATAACTTATTACCTGTGTGGGAGTCAGCTCAGCCCTGCGGCGGTGACTGGAGGCCTTTTTGCTGCTTCAGGGCCCCCGGGAACCCCCCTGCACGCTTACCCGGGCGGAGGACAGGGCCGGACGATCTTTTTCCCCCTTTTGACGAAATCCAGAGCTCCAACAAAATGGCCGCCGCGCTCCTGCGCCGACGACCAGCGCCAGAATCCATTGGGGAGAATCTTTTCCGCCTGGTGCTCGTACGTGGCTGCGCGCTTGTGGGGCGGTACCCCGTCCGCTTCCATATATGGTGAGCTCCTTGGCGCGTGTCCAGCGAGGCGTGTTGATAGATGGGAGGCGGCCATGATGACTAAGGGCAAGTGCTTGAGACTCAAAGTCGGCAGCCATGATGGTTTTGGGCAGATTCTGTGATAATTGCGGGCAGGATTAAAATTATAGTTCTTCTGGTACAGGTATAGTGACAGTTTAATTCCTGGAATGGACTGCAAAAAAAAAATTTTTTTGCGTACCTATATATAGCGGCTGTTGACGCTTTCCAAGTAGGCCCCTTCTGAAGTGCCGCACTTTTGTAGATGACTGTGCCACTACCGGAAACATTCCTGGAATCTGTGTCCTTTTGAGGCTTTTTTTTAATTTTGGACTTAGCCAGGGTGCTAAGTCAGGGGAATAAGGTGGTCAAGTTTCGGAATGGATTTCTGGGCCTGGAACTTGCAAACACTTGATGTGCAGGAGCATTGTCGTGCTGGAGGTCCGGTCTTTTTTTCTCCACACAGATTCCTGTAACCTTTTCAGAATGTCCTGTTCACCATGTTGGTTGACCGTTGTCCCACGTTTTATGAACTCTCAGTGAACTATCCCCTTGGGATAAAAAAAAAAAACTGAGAACAAGACATGCGTAACTTCTTTGGGCGAGGTGAATTGTTTGTTTTCCACGGCAAGCGCTGGCGTTTTGTTTCCGAATCATAATGGAAACACCATGTTTCATCACCGGTAAGAACCCTATCACACACCTCAAAAGTTTTTGACATGGAAACGAGGGACACCTATTGGCAAATGTAGGTAGGTATAGGGCACGCCCTCTGCCAAGCCCCCTTAACCTCCAGAAGAGACCAGGCCATTTTTTGTTATGTGGCGATGCGCTACTTTAACTGGTAATTGCGCAGTCATGCAACACTGTACACAAATCCCAGCCACGTTACCATCTGCCTGGAGTTTGCATGTTCTCCCAGTGCCTGCGTGGGTTT